AAAACAAATTTAAGAAAGTTAACTTTGACAATGTCCCCAGTCTCCCTATTCCCCTGATTTATCCCGTGCAACTTTTTATTCTCCAGATGAAAAGAGTCCTTAAACAATCCACTTTAAGTTTAGAGATATCCATGTACAATTTTTTTCATGTTAAAATAATGATTAAGCAAAGGTACTTACGACATAATACTGAAGAATGCGCAAACGGTAAACAATTTCATAATTGCTTGAAGCCCCCTAAGTAAAAATTAACTGAGCAATAATAATAGTAATAATAGTATAAACAATGCAAAAAGCAAAACATTTTTTTTTTTCGATGACCATATATTAATTTTTGGCAACTACGCTAGTTCGCTGTTATTTTTTTATATATTTTTGTTTTAAATATCTAATATGAAACCCTGTGCATTATTTGACAAATGAGAGCAAAAGATCTAAATAATATATATCTAAAAAGACTGTCAAGTCTAAAATACTAATATTTGTCTCTCAATAAGGCGTTACAATATGTTTAAAAACTAGTTAAAGCGAAGTCTCCTGTCTTTGGAAAAATCGGATCAAAACAACATTTTGAAATTCTACCAGGCCTTTTCTTCGATACGTTAAACTCTAATCACCTTCTAAGGGGCAGCATACATCGAAATAAACACTCATTTCGCTAGTGGGATGAAAAAATTGCATTTTAAATAACACAACTTTCCGTTATTTTAAATGGGACATCTTTAAATAAAAAAAAAAAAATACTGCGGAAACAAAACGTTTTAAAACAGAGCAAAGATGTATGAAGCTTAAAACATCAAGGACGACTGGTGTGTCTAGGCCATTTCTAAATATCCTTAACCGATTTCTCCAAAAACCGGAACCCAAAATAAAATATATACAAAAGAAATTTTGACAATCACAGAAAAGAAGATCTTTGAACCAACAATATTAAAAAAATATGTACAAATCTGTTGATTGGAGTTAAAATTAAGTGCCGAGGAACTAAACATTGAAAATTTTTCTGTACATCAACATGCATTTACTTGGACAGCATATTCCTTATTTTTTCTTTTCTTTTTCCAAAGAGAAAAACTACATATATATAGCGAAAAAACACCTGATTATTATTTGTATTATTTAGTAATCCGAAAAAACTATTCTACACAATCCAAAAATATTATTTGTTACATCTACCATATATATTTCTAAATCTATCCCTAGATTTTTAAGATATATCAAACGATCTAACTAATTGAAAAAAATCTATCAACTACTCATTAATTTTTCAGCACCCGTTTGTTTATCAATTTAAAATAATTATTAATCCCCAATTTATTTCACACGGAGTCTCGAACTATTAACAAGTAATCTTTTATAGGCAATGTGTATTTGCAAAACTACACCCTCTAACCTCTAAATTTACGTTGACTGACGAGGGCATTTATACACCAAAGATTTAAGAAATGATATAAATTTGGAGGATTTCTAAAATTCAGATACCAGCCAAGTAGTTATGAGATCTAGTCGTCGTAAATTGGATATAAAATAGCTAAATAGGAGAAATAATTTATAAAAATTTTAAAATTTAGGTGCGAACTCCGAATAGAGGTACAAATGCAGATCTAAATAGTCGGAGAGAGCTTCATTCCTTTTTGCTTCAAAAACCACCCTTAAACATATCCTAGCACCAGTTTTTTTTATTTTTCACAAAAACCGTCGCTCTTGCGAGAAAAACTATGGGAATCCAATACGTTCTTAATAATGCTCTATAATCTGTTTGCTTATTTCCAGCCGAAATCTACCAAATGACGTTTAAACTTCAGTATTAAATCTTTTAGTTATTTAAAATTACGTTTTTTTTTGTCTTTATGGTCAGGTTTGTATAAAAATCTGTTGTGCAATTTTATTTCTCTATATTACAAATTATTTAAAGATATTTGTCGCTTCGTGTAACAATCGGCTCATTGTTGCCTTTACTTTACTAACAGTACTCAACTTTAGGCGCCATTTGGTAGATTTTGGCTAGAGATAGGCAAAAGAGTTATAGGGCATTTTTATGATGTAGAATTTTATAGGCCCGTTCTTGTTCTCGCAAGAGCGACGGTTGAAAAAAAAACTGGAGGCATACCATGTATAATGGTAGTTTTTTTAGACAGGTGGAAATTCTTTAGATCTGTATTTGTATGTGTATTATTAAAGCTTTATAAACTACTTCTCCTAAAAAATCTAAATTACTTGTACTAATAGATATAGTAAAATTTGGCATCGTTGTCGGACAGCAATGGCCGAGTAATTGCAACCTATTTGGTTCTACAGACGTTCTGAGAATCAAAGGATGTAGCTGTACATATTAAAATGATTATTTTCAATAGTTTTATTTTATTAAATATCACAACTATATATTCCACAACTCTATTGACGCTTATAATATATCCCTGTTGAAAAACACTGAAGACATTTAGTGCATAGTTTTTTTTTTTGTTTATTAACGTCAAACATAGAGTGTACGAAAGATTATTACATTTACAGGCACATCAAAACATTTTAAAACACTAGAATTCTTTAAACACTACTAAGTATGTTTATTTTTTATTTTAAATTTAAACCCAACCCCAAGTGTCGTTAAGCCGAAAAAACTGTGAGTGTATTTTTTATTTCCTCGTTCTTTCCGTAATTACTTTGACACAGACGCAAAAATTGTAAAATTGACTAGTTAGATATTTTATTTCTCTTGTGAGTCAATAAAACATAAACCGCGAAAAGGAAACAATCCAAAAGCGATTAAAAACAAAAATGATAAAAGACAAAAATAGAACCGACATCGGTACGGCATCAAAACCGTACGTTTGGGAATTACAAAAAAAAAACGTAATTTATAAACGTAGTAACGCTAAAAATACTGCGATCTTTCAACAACTCTTTTTCACAAAAAAATTAACGAAGGAGAAATACTTGAAAATGCCGTTCAATTCCTATAGGAACCTTGAAACCTAACTAAAAACTAAACATAAATAAATAACTAATAGATTACAAATAAAACAAAATATAATCCTAAATACAAATTAGAAAAGTAATATAGAAGAAGCAAAAAAAAGATACAATGGAGAATAATAATTATATAAACCAAAACATTTCAAATATACACTCGAGAGTTACATTTTGGCAGCACCGGTGACGTTCAGTTCTAAAAAAAGAACGAAAACAACAGAAAGAAGAAATAGAGACAAACCAAGTAAGAGAAAGGCACGGTTTATAATGCGTATCAAATTTACCGAAATTATTTTTAAGACCCAAGTGCCCATATGTTGATGCCACTGCAAATTATACTTAAAAATTGACAGGCAAAATAAGAAATCATGGGCGTAGGTCTAACAGTTTAATAACGAACGTCAAAACATAAAAGTGTAATATAAATATGTCTTTAAAGAGAAAGATGGTGAAGCGAACCCAAATAGAGAAGATACCATCGACGTCATCATTTCAAGAGCTAAATCTTAAACGATTAGTCGTTGATACTATTAGTAATCAGAAGGTAATTTACCAGACACTGTACAAGAGCGATGTTACCAAGGCAATCGATAACAGCAGACCAGTGCGCATCATGCTGTAATGGTATCATCTCTATTCAGGTTTGTCCTAATATGAAAAGTGATTCGAAGAGCATTACTGCCAAATAAAAAAAAAAGCCTATAGAAACTTCCTCAGAAATATTTGAGGCCCAGTGCGTAAAGTAGCTAAGCGGTTCAGAATAAAGAATTAGTAAAAACATTTTTAATAAACAAAGTCGATGAAAGATAAACAACAATTGGAAACCCGTTGAAAGAGGAGATGTGCTAAGAAAATCGAAGACGTAGAGGAAGATTTAAAGAATATTTGATGATAAACCGGAGAGAGGGCGGATTAGGCATGGGTCCATTTGCACCGCTAGTCGTTAAGAAATAAACCAAGCTTAAAGTGTCATTTTCCTAATAAACATAATTTCAAACTTTGTTTATTTCTTAATAACCAGCGGTGCAAATACCCCATAATAAATTAAAATTATTATTCAACATGTCCTTCTGACATCGTAACTCCCAAATGTATAAACGCGTATCAAAACTACTCCTTCTATCAGTAAAAAAAACGATAATTCATTGAAAGTACGCAGTATCTTCATTAACTTCGCGTACTACAATAATTAGAAGCAAGCTCTAAAACAAGCTCAATAAATAAACTAAACAATTGTTAATCTCTAAATCACAAGAGATTATATCTAAAATCATCCATATATTAATTAATAATCATGAATAAACATAAAACGAATATTAAGGCGGCGCTTAAATCGACGCGCCAAAGATTAGTTTTTTTTTGATTAGTTGACACGCGCCGATATAGATAAGGCTATGCGATTATTTAAAATAACATACAATAAAGAAAAAAAAAATTAATAAGAATTTTTAAATCGGTACATTCAAAATTAATACTAAAATTCGACTAAAATGCTAAATTGTAGGTTCGCTAGATAAGCAAAACTTTTAGTTTTTTTTTGATATGAAGGCAGTATTTAAATATGTGAGTTATTTGGAAGTAATAAATTAATCTATTAGATTTTTTATTATAATATAAAGTAATAAGAGCCATTCTCGAGTGCGGGTACTAAATATTTACAAAAATGTCTCCCGAAAATGGCACCCAACGCAAAAAAAACTGCTAAGGTAAAAACATTACGTCATAACACAGATTAATACCCTTTGTAGCAAGATAGATTATAACTAAAAAAAAAAGTAAACCGTGGAACGTTAATGGATAAATTGCACGCAACTAACCTCGTATACAGATACCATTGCATAAAATAAGTCGTTAATTCCTTAACAATTAAAAATCTAACACACAAGATAGAAAAATTAAAAAAAAAAAAAATACGATTAAAACTTAGGCACTAATTCAAATAACGTAAAAATGCGGATAAATCGCATTTGAGTTTCAATTTTCTATCGATTTCTGCACGCACAAAAACGAATTCCTTCCTAGGCATCAAAACGTTACCATTTTTTTCGTTTCTCAGACTCAAAAATCAAATCCTTCAATATCAAATAAATGTACATTTCAGAAGTCCAAGTTAACGACCGTATGCGCCTATTTAGAGGTTAGCCTAGAGGCGCAGTCGGTTGAATAACTATTCCGATTTGATTTTATGTTTATCATCTTTGTAGGGTAGTACAACCTCATCCACAAGATAAAAACAAAAAACTTTTATCGAAAAAGTTATGCGATCGACTGTGTCCCTACGCCCGGCTCCATATCAATAATTTCGACAATAAAACATCAATTTAGAACTAAATTTGACGCATGTCAAAACGAATCCAACCGAAAAATGCATTCTTCGGGAAACGAGTTGTTCGATGCAAAATAGACAGACGAGCGATCGAACCAAATGCGATGTTATCCCCAAATACCGGACAACCAAAATACAAATACAACTTTATAAACTGGACCAAAATTTGAGCAGCATCCAGTCCACTGTAACATGTTCATATCCATCGTAAATTTCTTCTGTAACTTGTTTGCTCCCCACGGCTGTTCAGCAGTATCGGGAGATCATGACCCGTAGGTCATGGTAACTTGTCAGCTAGCTCATTCCTGTCGTCTACTCGAACCACAGAGGTTGGTACTGGTGGCTTTTGGCGGGGCTGAGCGGGGCAAAACCATAAGAGGTAGCCGCCACTTGAGCGTGCGATGGGAACTGCAAATGGGCAGGCAGAGGGTGGCTAGCGTGGCTGGCTAGTACCGGCCTGGCGCTTGCGTGGTGAGCCGGTGGAGGTGGTAAGGCGCGGCTGTGGAAGGAACGTTAGCGTTAAAATTTTAAAAATAAAGTGGCCGTAAATCAAAGGAAACAATTTAAGAATTTATAAACTACTACCATGCTCATGTTAACTTTTCTACATAAACCCAAAAATAACTATTGCGCTACATTTAAATTGTGATTATTTTTGCATATGAAAAAATCCCATAAATTAAAGGACCCCGCCCTTTTTACATTGATTTTGGGTCAGAATGTTTAAATTTTAGTATGATATTTTTCAGGTCTTTAAAGCAACTTTGTTATGGACATCAAGTAGACAGCTCTACAGAATGAGCTGTTAGAAGGATTCAAAAGTAAGGAGTGCAGAATTAATATTTTCAAATATATCTCCAATGGTCTTAAGTAATTCTTTTTTTTTTTTTCATGAAACTTATGTAGTGTTACACTTGTATGTAGTTTGTTCATGCTTACTTACACTTTGCAAAATAAATCATACAGCGTGTTCAAAAAATTAGGAATATCAGTTACTGAATTATGGGTGCAGTTTTCATGTATTCCCATAGTTACATAGTTAGAACATGATTTCTGATAATTTTTTTGTTTCATTTAATACTAGATAATTTTTGTAATACAAGGTGTGATAGAGCTACATAAACAACTAAGAATTGCAAAAACGCATTTAACGAAAAACTTGGTATACCAAAAATATTGTAGAAATTGAATTCAGTTTTGCTCGTATTATAATCATAGCTCTTTCTTTAACTAACCAAATCTATGCCTACTTAAATGTAAAAATAATTCTACTAACTCTGACTTGATAAAAGGGCCTTTCTGATTTATATATACAGTACAGATGTCAGCTTATCACTTTACTTCTAAATATAATTCTATTTTTGTAGATTTAGTATATTAATTTTAGTTAAATTAAAATATCAAAAATCTTATACAGTTTTTGCAGTAGTATTTTATTAATGAATACTGGCGCTATTTAATCATGGCCATTCCTTATTGTTTATGTATTCCACGCCACTATATACTTTTATGATGCTTTAATTATTTTCCAAGGCTGACATTTAATCAGAATCATTACAAAAGAATTCTATAAGATAAAAGGTTGGTAAGTGTTAGATCAACCTACAGAAAAATTATCATATTGTTAACACGTAATCTTTGTTATTTCAAACTACATTTGCTGTGTTTTGTGTTTGTCCATTTTATATGCATCTGAGGTGGTGTGAATTTTTGATCACTTGATTCAAGATATGTAAAAGTAGTTGGGAGCAGATGTGTCCAAATGTCCGATGTGGATAAATAAACGCTCAAGAGGTAAAAAATTGGATGTGGATATTCAAACGTAGCAATTTTATTTTACACTGTATATTTTCTTCTTCTTTTTTGAGCTGTTATTAAGAACAATAATTTTAACAGTTATTAGGAATTTTTTGATAGTAGGTAGTTTATTTTTGTTATTAAACTTTGGCGTGCCTTTGTTTTTTTGCAATATAATCGAGATTTTATTTATATAGTACAATGAAATTCCAAGAGAATCCCATTACTAGGTACTACTGTACATATACGACTGGTTCAAGAACTATATATAGGCATATGCGCTCATATTTAAAGTGTTTTGTGGTACCTGAAATACCCACGATTCGGAAATTATATAAAGTACACTTCAAGTGTTTTATTAAGGACTCTTTTAGATGCTGCTGAAAGATGAGTCAGATTTTGAAGGTGTGTAAATAGTTAATGAATGTAATACAGTTTTTAAAAATGCAGTTTCTTTTATATTAATTTATAATTTAGTAGGATGTCTAAAAATCTATGTAATGAAACTGTTATATTTCTGTCTTATTTGTCTTTCTGTCACACCCAGTATTGTTAAGTAATTAATATAACAAATAATTGGTCAAAAGTCATGTTCTAATTATGGTAATACATGGAAATGCACCTTATTTCAGTAATTACTATTCCTATTTTTTTTTAACACTCCGTCTGATTTATTTTATAAAGTGGAAGTAAGCAGTAACAAACTATATACAAGTGCAACACATGCAAAAGTTTAATGAAAAAATCATGAATTAATTAAGAGTGGTAGAGATATATATGAAAATATTAATTCTGCACTCCTTACTTTTGACTCCTTCTAACAGCTCACCTTGTAGAGCTGCAAAATTGAGGTCCATAAGAACGTTGCTTACAATGACCTGAAAAGTAACACAAAAATTTGAACAAATTGTGACCGTACCTAATATCAATGTAAAAAGTGCGGGGTCTTTTAGCATTCTATGAGTAAATATAAAGTGCAGTTTGAATGAAGACAAAAAATATATATTATCGAATTTATTGTTTAAACAATCGTATGTCTAATGTACAGCCCAAAACTAATTTCTACGTTATAAAATTATAATAATTATTAATGAATCACATAACTTTAGTTATATTAAACAAACTCGTATTACGTGCCGATCAGTTTTTATTTAACTCGGGCTTGATCATGAAATTTTGACACATTCACAGCTTGATCGGGTTTAGTGACTCACTCTGTATAGCGGCAAAGTTGCAGTCCGTAAGAAAGTTGTTTTTTTGGACGTATGTTAAAATTTTAAGAAAATCGACAAAGACCTAAAATTAGTGTGCAGTGGATCCCAAAATTGCTGGGACATGTATTGTAGAGGCCAAACTAAGTCAATTGGGCCCAATTTATATACAATGTGTGCCATAAATTTGAATCCATATAAATATTAAAAAAAAACGCCGTAGGGCAATCAACTCTGCTTATTTAATAACATAAAATAGTCCATATCAAATATGGCTACTAACATAAGTTATCTGTCAGTACCTACCCATTTGCGGTACATTTATAAACATATTTTATTTATTAATAAATAACTTTCATCCAGTGACCAGATGGGCGAAGGTCGACCTTACTTCATTTCATTAAATTTGTTTCAGACTTTTCACAACAGCGTACGAAAATGTGATTTTTTTTTTAAGTAAACTTTGAACTCTTCTCACGCACAAACGGTACATTTTGACTTATTTTGACATTTATAATAAGTGGTAGCTCTATGTCTCAGCAATTCAGGGCACTATGATTTGTTGCAGGTATCTTTGAAATATATGTATGATATTCAACAATGAAACGATTTAATATACAGTGCATTCAAAAAGTGAGGAAATGCTCCACTATCTTACGAGTTAATTATTTTAGGAGGTATAGCTGGGACAGGTCTACTTTTTATTTAATTTTCTACTTTTTTTAATTACTTTACCCCATTGTCATGCAAGATTTGAGGTCATCTATATACTTTTTTTATTGAAAGCATAATTTTATGCAAAAATTAAGTCCATATTTTTCTTAGTCAAACCATACCAAACACATCTTATGTAACACCGTTTTTTATTAAAAGAAAAAAATTTCTCCCAAAATAATTAACTCGTAAGATAATGGAGCGTGTCCACACATTCTGCCCTCCTCAATTAAAAGGCCGTATCTACAAACAACATCTGAGAAAATGGGGTTTAAAGTTTATTTCTTGGACTCCTTACTTTTTCTTTTATTTAGTGCTATAGTAATTAGAATAAAACTCAAAATATGTAATACTAATAAAAATTGTGTTACCTCATCTAGTTTTTTCAAAAAAGTACTTACGGCGTTTTCATTAAGCACTAGCAATTAAGAAATTGACACAATTTTGCAGATACGACAACGTGTTTTAAGTATTTTTACCAGTTAATTGTTCAGATACTGCATTTTCAAGTTGTAAGATTATAGAATATATGGAAAAATCTCGTTTTTGATTTTTTTGTAGATACGGCCTTTTAATTGAGGAGGGCAGCATCATCAACATACTGTATTAAAAGAAAACTGAAAAGTGTCGATGAAAACGTTATCATTTTTGGTGGGCTTTTTGCAAAGATGAAGAACTTTGACGTTGTCAGTATTACTATACAGAGTGAGCGATATTTGATTTTCATAACCACTTCCGATTTAAACAGAAACTAAACAGCATATAAATTCTAAAATAGAAACATGAAAGATGGCAATAAATAACTTTATTACGGTAGGTCAGCGTACCCTTCCTTCCTAAGAATTTATTAATTTTTTGTAATTAAACTAATTGAGATTTTTATATTCACCCTGATTGGAGAGCAGAAAAATGATTGAAGGCATACATGATTGAGTCGAATTGATCGAAATTATACATATGCAGAATAATTAATTGGTCAAAAGTTCAAATGATTCACATGTATTAAAAGTAATTTTAAAAAACAGACTTCAAAATCGTGCAGATGCCATCACTACATCTTGACCAAATTTATATGGGACCACCCATGAGGTGTCCCCTTACTAACAAAAAAAAAAGAATCATAGAAATCGGACAAGGTGGTAAAGAATTATTGATAAAAATACATAAAAAATGAAGAGTTTGAGGATTTTCTCATGGACCCAATTAATAGATTTTGACCAAATACATATGCGACCACCCCTAAAGTACCCCTTTACTAACAAAAAAAGTAATATTGAAATCGGACACTGTGTTAAAGAATTATCGCTGAACATACATAAATAAAAAAAATATTCTGATGAATATATAACTCTGAGAGAAATTTTTGTGTGTTTATACTGCACTAAACAACTGTCAGACATAAATATCATGCAATAAGTGTCAGATGTAAACGTACCTTAAGTCTACCACTGTCGATTAGAGCTACTATGAGTTACATTACTCCAAAAACAAATAAAAATATTTATAATCTTGACATGTCAGAAAAACTACCACCTAACTAAAGTTTTCAGGAATTAATTAGCACCCAAACACGGCACTTTCCCTATTCTAAATGGCAATGTCATGAAAAATAATCTATACAGTGTGTGCCATAAATTTTTATCCATATGGGAATATTTTTTATTATGATTGGAAAAAAACGACGTAGCGCAATAAACTCTGCTTATTTAAAAACTTAAAATACCCCATTTCAAAGTTGGCAACTGACATTTCTTTTCCGTCAAATTCAAACTTAAGGGTTAGAGAATCAGAAAAAACGAGTATAAGCTTTAACTCTAATTTCGTTGAAAAATGTAAATATCCGGTCTTGTGGCAGAAATAGCAGAACCGGACGACAGAAAATGCTTACAAAGGGAGTTTTTATGGTTGTTGACGTCTAAACGCATATATTTCAGTGCTAGCAAAAAAGGAAAAATGCATCGATAAGCTACTTTACTTTAAATTTTGCAGGTCACATGACCGCTTCCACCACCGGGACATGGTGTACATGTTCCCCCCCCCCCCCCCCTTTCCTGTAGCTAACTACAAAGATCAAGCGAAAAATACGACGTGACACTTTTTGCAGTCAGATGAAGGACTAACACTAACATGCTCAAATTAACAGTAGTTATGATACACTGATATATGCTTTATTGTCTAACAAAACAAAAAACATTTTATAGTAAAATAAAATATTAGAATTCTTCTATTACTACTGATTTTGAAATACCGTCATTGAAACATGTGCATTACTTTATCCGAAAGCAACGCAACGTGGCCTGCTATTTTCATATCGAAATATTCAATCAATTGGTTTAAATGTTAAATACAACACAAATGTTGAATTTCAAATTTCTGTTGATATGTTAATAGGGCATGTCCATAAAGCATATTGTAAGTAAAAATAATCTCATTTCGACAGAAGCAAAAGGAATTATTTTAAAGAAATATGGGTTGGGTATGGGATCAGAGAAAGAGAAATAAAAAGAGAAGCAAAATTCGAACTATATTTAGAAAATTATTACAAGAAAACAATTCTTTAGCTGCCACATACAAATAATTATTGAGTGGGATGGTATTCTAGTATAGCCAAACAATTTTGGTCTAAATATTCTTCAATTTAGACGTATATGGATGGAATTAGAGAACAATCTTTCCAAAATTATTCAAAATATCAGTTGATATATCTTATTCATATCCAAGGCAATTAACTTAAAAAAAAAATGAAAAAAAGTAGTGTAATAAATGAATTAATTTTTCATATTTTTTAATTTCTTAATATAAGGCTTTCTTATATCATTTTAGGTTCGATCTTTTCTCACTTTCGATCATGTTTCCGCCCACAATTTTGATCAATTTAATTTATTTTGCAATTTTGTCTTTCAAAAATATAATTTTCACATTTTTTTTTATTGCATTCTTCCACGTTTCGATATAATCTACGTTCTAATTTAAGCCAGCTAAGACTTACCCAGCTGGCGCCACCTGGTGGGTGGCGGGCAGGTAGGCAGGTTGTGTGGTAGTGACGTAGACGGGCCGTCTGTAGAGTTCCGTCTGATGGTACAGCGGCTGGCCGGCCGCCGCTGCCAACGGGTGTTGGGGCGAAAGGCGGGGCGCCGCCGCCAATGGTTGAGGCGATAGATGGGCCTGGCTGTGTCTACAATTACGGGGGAACAAATTTTTAAGCATGCATTTTACTCGATACACTAAATACAAAATGTGAATATTTTGGAGATGCTCAGAATAATGTGAAATTGTTCTTCTAACGGTTAGTTCCAAATTTATTATTTATTTTGTTTAAACAATTTAAGTTCGAGTAACATTAAAAATGTAGCAATCTGGAATATATTATAGAAAATTGAACCAAATAGAGTAGTTTTATCGATATAATCGTTGATGGTAGTTTTGTATACATCAACTTCACTTTATTCTAAGTAGTAAATCAAAATGTCTATCCAACGTTATTTAAAACTAATCTACTGGCTAAAAAAGTACTGGTAACGAATTTCAAAGTACATATTTATTTTTAGTTCAAATATTTTGCCCAAATTAAAACTACTACAATGTAGGGATAGAGAAAACCCAAAACATACGACCTTAAAAGTATTTTTATTTTCTAAATAAACAGAGACCCTGAAAGTTATACTTGTATGAATATTTCCAACTAATTTGGGCATAATAGTTGAACTGGTAAGTACATACTACATCCCCAATTTCAAAAATAATTTATTAAAAATTAACCTTATATTTAAGAGGTCTATTCTGTAACATGTCCTTTTTTTAATTAATTTATTTAACGGCGGCCTATTTCTAATTAAAAGATTTAAACACCGACGCTGGTGCGCACGCTACCCCCAAATACCAGAAATTTAGCCGAATCCTCAGTTGTTCCCACCAGAGGTAGGAATCTTAACCCTCCGTTAGGCGCGCAGTTTTTTGTAACGCGGTTAGGCGCGCTGTATCTCCCAGATACATGTACATATATGATGTGTTATTCATTTGAAATTTTAATATTTGACACCTAAATGAGTTTCTATAATATTGTACAAGAGATATTCATTTACATGACTGTTATTATTAAAATAGTTGGAGCCTATTTGAACCAAAATGCAAATCAATGTAAGGTATTGTAATTACACTCTTTCATTAGAAAAATTCTAAGAAGAGATTGTAAAAAAACTTTGGCACCCTCGACGTTTTAGGTTCGGGCTCTTCTTGAGGACTATATTTTTTTAATCAAGTTTTTATTTCCACGGGAAGGCTTGCAGTTACTGCTCGAATTCGTAGTGGCTCTTCTTCCAAAGTTAGAACCAGATTTTTTTAAATATTCCCTTTGCAAGACGAATTCATTTTGTTTGGCAAGAAAAACTATTCTAGAGTTGAGTCCCCGCCACGTTCATGAGGTGGTAAAAAATTACCATTGGCCACCTTCTTTTTGACCGACTAATATTGAAAATGGCACAATGTTTGTCAACGACTACGCCTGATTTTGTATCAATTTAAAATAATATGTCTTCCGGTTTCTTCTCGGGGTCGTTGGAAACTTCTTTTGAAGAAGTGTGCGTACTTGAAAGCAACACAACTGATTTTTCCTTTTTCGGAACGTAAGAAACGAGAGTCTCATCTTTTGTATATGCGAAAATGCTGCTAAAGCAGACACGATTTTTGGGAGACACAAAATTTGGTGGAAGTTCTCTTTGACCAACTTCAAACTGGTAAACCAGTTATCTGCTGTAATATTTCGACCGGATCCGAAAATCGGTTTAAAAAGCCGCTTTACTATCGAATTCGATTGATGAAGAGGACCTTCGGGTTGTTGTCCACAGTATATATTCGCGGTATAATACAGTTTGGCATTGCTCAGACTAAATATTTTTATTCCATATTTGTTTGGTTTGCATGGAATGAATATATTACATAAATGAACATCTACCTCGAACTCCAGGCAACATTTTATCGATTGTTACGTTTTGGCCAAGATGATGTTTTTGGCAATTTTCGATAAAAACAGTAAAAAGTTCCCTTACTGCAGCCAATTTATCGCCTTCACGTCGCGCTTTTCTGGTAGCTTTGCTGTCAATTCAAACATCTTATCAAAAATCTAAAGCGTTTTTCCGACATTGTCATTCGAAAAATGCTTATTCCTAAACCTTCAGTGGCCTACAAATCGCTAAGTTGTTGATCTCTTCGAAATACCCTTGCCAAATACAATAATCCCAAAAATGCTTTGATTTCTGCTTTATATTTTCAATGTATTGGTTAGTGTATTCCACTAGTAAATTTAAAATAAATTCCATAAAAATAGATTCCAACATTCCAGCTCAGTTTTTGCGTTCCTTGTAACCTCTCCTACAATACCAAGTAATTTCATAAGAATATCATAAGGATGTTTTTAAAATTTTAAGCGGTTCTTTATTCCACCGTGTGCCATCTTTGCCTAAAATTATCTTTATATGATAAATAGATATAAAAAAGATTTTGGTATACTTACGGTTTTTCAATTTCATCTTTATTATCATTACTTTCATGATCAGTGTTTGAATCAACTGACCTAGTTTCAACATTATCATCTGAATTTAATTCATCAGATTCTTCGTCTAGAACACAAGCACTGGGTTCGTCATCCTCAAAAATTAGACAATGTACACTGATTTATTAATTGAATTAATACCTAACTGGTTTATTACTCTTCCCAGTAGACCTTTTTAGTATTGACGAGTTTGTCGTTGATTCAAAGTATTTACCTAACTTGGCTAGATATAATATTTGTACGAAGAGTAAATATTTTATGGAATAATCTCACTTTTTAAATTTCCGCGTTGATGAAGCATAAACAATAAAATGATCCCGGTAGGTTGAGCTCTGAAAATCATCACATTGTTGCCGGTTGACCACAGTGCAATCCGCAAGATGAGTTCATTTAAAAATTGTTCGAGTATAGTTAACACTATAGAATCTCATATTTGGCCAACACACATACTTGAAAATACGACAAAATCAACATGTCTGGTGGCTTAGTCTGAAAAGTGGAAAAGTGCATTGCGCAAAATTATATTAAATAATTTAGCTGAACTGCATATAAACAAGGGCAAAATACAGTTTAAAAAAGAAGAAACGACCACTGAACTATATGATAAACTGGAAGTACAAAGCCGATTTATAAAATTGAGCCACATATTGAGGTGATATTTGACAGGCTGGCGCCCACAGGTGCGTATCCAATTGAACTAAAAGGTAACACGAAAATTTAACAGCTATTACATTCAATTACAATAATATAACATAGCGTTGAATGCTTGAAATTGACAGTCTGGCGTCTAAATTGTCATGCGCACCGACCGTTTTTTTTTCACCCATACCGACTAAAAAATTAGAAGTAGGGCTTATGATATATAGCCATCCAGCTTAATATGAAGGTCGGTGCTACCGACTTTTAATGTTTAACGGTGTTTTCGATTTTTCGTTTCATAAATTATTAAAATGAAAAAGTTAAAAAATTTCCAAAAATCCAAAGTTTGGATGTATTTTACAAATGATTTGCCTAAAAAACGAAAATACATATGCAAATATTATTGTCAAAGTGTTTCTTAAATTCATTCAGGATGGAGAAACATTTTACTATGTGTCTTCTATGCCTAGAGGATATCAAATGACAGTTTCTGGGGAAAAGGTCAGAAGCCTTAAAGAAAAGGAAACAAAATATTTTCAATGTTACTAGTATAGTGGTAGGTATACTTTATACCTTTCTATCAAGTTAGTTCAAGGTCAACTAGTTTTCACTACTTTTCCAGATATGTCCTCATGTCCATCGGATTAGTCCAAACATTGTTTTTCATGAAAAAGTCCTATCACTATAAATCCTATCCAGTAAATATTACAGATCGGTGGTGTAAGTTAAATAGTATGTGACAGACAGATAGGACAGACGAGGTAATTTCCATTCCTTTTTAACAATTTGGGTATGGAGCGCTAAAAGTTAAAATTTGAAATGGCCTGTAAAAATTTAATAAAGGATGTTTTACAGAATAGACCTCATTCACCTCCTATTTAATTTCTGTTATTAACTTCACCTATAATTTTCAAAAATTACCAAAAATAATTTATTAAAATGCTAATACACTATCCCCACAAAAATAAAATCAATAAAAATTATCTGATTGATGACCGAAACATAATACTCAAAAAATTAGAAAAGGTCAGTGATAGATTGCTTCTTCGGTTCCTCTATTATATCTAACAGCACTCACCTATAACTCGGATGTATTGCCTGCGGCGGGCCCCAGTTCTTTCCAGGAGCGAGCAAGTGAGGCTCCCTGGCAACTGTCAGCGTATCTCTGGTCGTGTGTGCAGCAGGAGGTTGGATGTACTCGTTGTGCGGTTGCGCTGGCACTGCGTACTCCTGCAGACTCACCACCGGTACCGCTGAATGCCGCCTCGAATGACTGGATGTATTGTGGGCGACCGGCGGCGCCCAGGAGACGCGTTTGTCGTTTGTCGCGTAGGTCGGTTGATCGTGTTGGGATGAACTGACGTATTGGTAAGTCTGAGGATGATTAGAAATTTTTTATCTATAATATTAACCTATTTATGCGAAAAGAGCACCTTCTAATTGATTTTGTAAAAAAATAAATATACATTTATCTAGTTTTAGTTACAATGTGACGCAGTCAGTAGGATACGAACCTTACACTACCGACACTGTCTGTATTTTGTTACAATGTTTATTGTATTTATTTACAATACCCGATAAGTTAATCAATTACAAGGTGATGTGTTACCAGATATATATGTTGCAAGGATAAAAAATGTCCAGTTTAAATGGGTCTAAAACTAATAAATTCTTACCTGTACGGGTTCCTTACAAGAAGAACCACAATGTTGCATATAGTTGTAGTCGGTAGGTTCCTGTTTGGTGGGGACGTTCAGCATGCATTCGGACTGCGCTTTGGCCAAGAGGCGTTTCTTCTGTGATATTGAAGCATAGTTGGTGCCACTGCTATTGCTTTGGCTGCACTGGCTCTGCCCCTGACATGGTTCATTTTTAATGACAGGGTTATAGTTGTGAGTATTACCGGACGCCTGAAAAAAATTTGGAAAAATCATCTGAAAAAATTAGACCATTAAAGACCAAGCATTGTAATTTATAATAAGTCCCCAGGACCAAAACTTGTATTTAATTTGTATGTGTCTATATTGACACTTTTTGGCAGATTATGGTAGGTAATTTCAATTAGTTTTAGCTTTTCTTTTTTTTTGTAATAATCTAGATCATGCAAGAATGTTGGTTTTACATAGAACTAGGGCACCCATTTTCTTAGATATGGCAACACTAGGACAATAATAGACTAGTATTCAAAATACACATGGCTCTACACTTGTAGGCATGGTTTTATGCTGCAAAAAGCATTTTGCGATTCAAATTAATTTTTCTGCGCTTTGTAAGTAGGATAGAAACACTACAGTGTTGTCATACAATTTTTTTTTGTAATAGCATTTTGAACAAAAATGTAAAGTTAAACTCAAAGATATTAATCCTGGTGTCAAGATAAGATTTCCGTATAGCAGTTACCGCTGTTACCACGATTACCTTTGTCACTGAAATTGTGACATTTAAAAGTATACAGTATCGGCCAATGATGCCACCCCGTACGGCCTGGCCTACGTTTCAACGCGGTCGGTTTGTATAAATGACACTTCCCAGATAGCACACGACGTCTGAAAGACGTCTTTTTTGTGTCTTGGTTTGGTCTCAATGTCCTAGGACGTTATTAAGACGTCTTGCAAAAGCCATAATTCAGACGTATTAATGTGAGAGCTCAAAGACGTTCTTAAGACGTCTTAAAGACGTCTTGCCAAATCCATATATTAATGTGAAAGCTCAAATACGTCTTACAAACGTCTTTCAGTCGTACGGAAACTTGCACGGTTTACATAATTCAAAAAGAATAAAATGAAGTGAAGTTTGACGTTTGACTTAACATTACATTCAAGCCGGACTTCCGATTCGGACACCGCACTATGGTTTCAATGAACCAATTTTTTGGCCAAAAGTCAAAACAAGATTTAAAAAAACAAATTATGATCTCAACTGTTTTTAATGGAGTATATTAACACTATAAAACTCATTTTGAGCCATTTAGAACAAGAATTAAAATAATAAATATCTTTTTTCTCAAAATATATTTGATAGTTTAAATAAAAAGTAAAATCACATTTCCATATCTAACTCAAGTGAGTCCAAATGATCAGGCATTATTTCTTCCAAAATTGTTTCTTCCCCTTCGTCTTTGTCATAATCATCTTCTAAATTTTCTTCATGTTCCAAAGTTTGTGGTTGTTGTTCCAAAAGCATTTCTGTAACTTCAGCTGGAAACTTAAACTTTTGTTGTTTATTTATTCGTTTTTGTAAATTTATACTTGAAATAATGGGATCTGAGGTGTCCATAGCTCGATGAAAAACATCTTCGAGATTATTTTGTCGGCTTGTTTTCCTAGCGTGAAATTGTCGATCATATTTGTAAAGTTTATTTCTTGCTTCAGATCCCTCTTCCCCGAAATATCCCACGGGCAATATGGTATTCTCCATTATCTGTCTCCCATGTACTAAAACTTTGTGAATGGTTGCAGGCATAGGATACCAGGAATATTTTTTCATGTATAGTCTGGCAGTTTCATGACAAAAAATTTCAAATTTTTCTGCATCTAGTTGGTACTGGCAAGACAAACAAATTAGGATGATTTTAAATTTTTTTATTAGAGTTTCATCAACATCTGTTATTTCCGAAAACAATTTGGTGTTGCTAAAGGCTCTACGAGCAGTATTGCCGTCATTTGTGCTACCAAATCCACTTGATTTTGGTTTATCTACATGTAGATGTAAAAGGGATAAGAATCGTTCTTGAATATTTTTTTTTCTGTTGGCAAATCTTTCTTTATTTTCGGTACCTCTAACTTGCCATTCACATAAATTATGCCTGTAGGATATGTGTAGTATGCACTCGAAAAAACGAATCCAAGCATGTAATGGGCTTATTCCATATTGTAAAGTATTTGGTTTTGGGTTAAAGATATTAGTTGTTTTGAGGTTCTCAACTTTTAAAAAACTTCGGGGAGTAGCACCACATATTGGACAAGTTTGACTTGACTTTGTACCAGTTAAAGTATTAAGTACCTTTCCATCAATTAAAGTCATAAAAAGAATACATTTAATATTTATTAGCTTATTTTCAGGCAATAGTAATTTTAGTTCTTTTAGTTTTTCAATCTGCAAGTCAATATTTTTTTTCTCTTTTAATATATGTTCTGATGATTCTTTAGTATACTCTAACTTAAGTGGTCTACAGAACCGAACAGACTGAGGAGTTCTATTGTTCCACAAAATAACATTATTTTTCGACTGCAAACGAAGAGGTATACAAGTCGTTGCAAATAAAGACTCATCGGACTGAGTACCTGAAGTACTGAATTTCTGTTTGTAAGCTGATTGGCCACTACTTCCATCGAAGCCATAACTAAATATTATTTCTGCACTAATTTCATTCAGCTTAATCATTTTCATGTACTGCACAATGGCCTCTTCTTGTAAAAATACAATTCTTTTTGTAGTATGTTCTAGAAGATTTGATAAAGGAACTTCTGCTACAATATCAGAAACAATAATACCGGTTGGTCTACATTTAGGTTTACATTTCCACACTTCATTATAATTTGGGTACATATCAGATTTTCTTGAAAGAGCTCCGTGTCTGATGTTTAAATACTGCTGTTTACTAAAATTGTTATCTAGAATAAATTCTAGGGCTTCTTCAGGCGTATACTTTACAGTTTCTTCTTTAGGCGAAAACAGCATTTTTCTAATTTTAGCTGGTCGAGATGGGCTTTCGCTTACTTCTTTTAGCACGACTGCTAAATCTTGCATTCCTTGTTGTCGTGCCGCCATACTTGCAGCTTGTACTATTAATGATGACTCATGTTGTTTTTCATGTGATAACTGCGAGGCTTCTCTTCTTTTTGATCGATTCGATTTTTCAGAAAACGGAATTGTGGGACGGCCGAAAGATGTAGATGGCATAGGTTCATTTATTTCAATACTAAAATCACTTTTTAGCCAATTCGAATTTTTTTTCTTAAAATATTCCTTGTTCCGCAACGCTTTAGTCCATCTTTCATCAAAACTGCGACATAAACGATTAATTTTTTCTTTAATTTTTTGTGTATTAGATGAATTTATCTCTTCTCCTACTTCCTCTATAATATGAAGATAAATAGCAGAAAATTTATCGCCTTTGTCTCTTTCTTTTAGCCACAGTTCAAAACAGTCTTCAATTTTAAAACGGTGCATGGCTAAAAAAAATTTTTTTTTTAGAAAGGGTAGCAGTTAGTAGCAAAAAAATTATATTGAATAACAATCACTGATAAAGACGGAATGTTATCGTAGTAAAAATATCTTGGCCAAACTCAGCCAAATTTTTATAAGTCTACCTAAATCTTGGAGTTTACAATTTTTAAAATAAATATACACTATTTATGTATTAATTAATTTAAAAAACTGGGGTGAAGAATTACGTATTTTTGTTTATAACAATTAAAAGTACATACCTTAACAATAATACCACAAGTCACTGAAAATCCAATTTTTAAAAATTACAAAAACAGCTCAGCTTTAAAGTTTGTCTACGCTCGGTGACTGCTTTACCGTAACTGACCACGGACAGAAACTACAACTTGTTGTTACCTGAGTTAGGTAGAAGGGGCGCTCAAATAAAATTCCCATTTAGGATTCGTGAGCTCTGGAGTATTAATTTTTAATATATCGACTTAAAAATGTATTTACTAAGAGTTGAAAAAATCACTTTTGGCCAAAAAATTCCTTTCTAGAAACCATAGTGCACCGTCGTGGCAACATTGAAATGGCGGTCTCCGAATCGGGAGCCAAGAAGTCCCATCAAAATCACAAAATATCTAGTATAAAAGTGACCATTCGACTTTAAAAAGTATACAAAATTAAACAAAATATTCAGTGTAATATTTGGAGAAGAATATTGAAATCAAATATCAAGTGCAGTGAAAAAGTGAAAAGATTGATCTCATATAAAACGAAGAAAAGAAGAAGTACATTCAAGCCCAAGCCAAAAATTTGTATGGCCCAAGCTCATTGTGGATTATTGATTATTTTATTGTGTACACGATTATAGCCACCAAGAGCGACTTTGGGATATTTTGAGCATTTGTTCTCTTTCTACTTATATAATATGGGGCAAAAACCTGAGAGAGAAGAATAGTTTTTGTTACCGATGTAGCACGTTCCTGGAATACAGGTAATAAATCAATATTTGTTAATATACATAGAACATTAATATCCTGTTTATTCTAAGAATAATTAAATCAATTTAAAAGTAAACATCTTAATATAAGATTAAATTCAGATATTTGTCAATTATCATTTTGTTTTGTTTTTACGGAGATTTTGAGAACTAATAATATCAAAATCTCCCTATTAGATTTTTGAGTGAAGTTAAAGTAAAATTGTTAAAGTAGGCGATTAAGCATAATAGCTCATATTGCATTAAATGATTAAAATAAATTAATTTTTTGTTTTGTTTAATAGATAACTGTTATTTCGGTTTTTACTAACTTTTGCAAAGTATAATTTTCTGTGACTAGATGCTCTTGACTAAATTTATTTTTAGGAGCTATATAAAAGCAACTAAAAATCAAAGAGAAAAAGCAATCCAGTTATGGCTAAAGAGGAGTGATCGAATGTGCTACAAAGAAAATAACTCTTAGTGACCTGTGATTAATAGATATTTTATCAATAAATATTTTAATTCTATTTTTTGCATTATTTACAATCTGCAAGGTTGTTCTACTTTTTAATAACCAAGATATCCGAAGTCCTACTTTCATAAGACATCTTAAAGACGTCTTATTTATGGCTTATTTAAGGCTTTACAAGACCATTATAAGTTATTAATAAGTAAGACGTCTTATTTATGGCTTATTTTAAGCTCTATAGACCAATATAAGCCATTAATAAGACGTCTTAAAGACGTCCCCTTTTGTAACAACAGACGTCTTCTAAGACGTCTTTCAGAAAATACCAGATGTCTTAAAGACTTCTCTAATGTCTTATTCTAGACGTCTTAAAGACGACTTTGTACTAACTGGGTGTTGACACCAATTCTTTTCTGCTCGTTCTAATGCCAACACTCTGTAGCTTTCACTCGCACTTGTGCCAAGGGATATTAGAAGGTATTCGTTGGTTGATACCATATTTTTGAGTTTCACTTTAATCAATTAGTATTAGATTTGTTACAATTTTGATTACAATGCCAACAGTTATCCTACTTACACATATTATAAAATGTACCCCCAGAGGGTGTATAGCTTAGCTTGAATCGCGATTTGTATTCGACTATGAGGAAGTTTTGGTCGTAGACCAGACATTCAATAAACCTCTGAAACCTAATATTAGTATTAGATTTGTTACAATTTTGATAACAACGGCAACACTTATCCTACTTACACATGTTATAAAATGTACCCCCAGAGGGTGTATGGCTTAGCTTGGAGGAAGTTTTGGTCATAGGCAAGATATTCAATAAACCTCTGAAACCAAATATTCTGACATATGAGAAATCGGGTGATAACGTAGGCAATTTTGATAAATCGATTGCCTGAAAGTCAATTATTAGCTAAGGCAGTAACCAATTGCCCCAAATTGTTATGGCTTTGAACTTATATCACAAGCGAAATTGTATTACAAAAGTGCTGACAGATTTATAAAAGTACCCAGACTATTTGCAATAATTGGGGAATATAATACAAAAACAAGGGGAAGTTTCGAGAGTAGCAAATAAGTTCATGTTATTTCTTGAAAAGTTGATAACTGAAGTAGTTTCTGGCTTGACGAACACCAACTATACGTAAGTAAAATTTCCAGTAACTTGAAAGCTATATATACTGTAAAATCAATAACTGCACTAGAAACTGCAGATATTGGAAGGAAACTCAAAAATAATTGTAAACCATAGCTTAATACAAACAGGAACGCGAATACCCTAATTAAATTTTAGAATAGTGATTGCAAAGAGGCATCTACCTGTTATGGAAATAATCCTAGAGGATGAGGAAGACCGTCTACTTCAAGAAATAGTATTATGTATTATACTTCTGACAAAAATAAGAAAAAGTGTGCAGATGGAGATTGTTCGGGCGCCATATTGGAACCGCCATTTTGTATTTCTAAATTTTAATGTCATATTCAAAAACAGCGACCCCAAAAACTTCAATATATAGACATTTTGGAAAAAAAATAGGTAAAATGTACTTACAAACATTGCAAAATGTTTAGAACAGGTTGTATAATAACTTTTATAACTTTTGTGGTTACGATTTAAATTTTTTCGCGTTCCCACATTTCATTTAAGATACATATTTGATAAAAACTATTACATTAAATTTGTTCTAAAAATTGATATTTTAATATTCTCTTTTTTATCAAAAATCATTCAAGATGAGTATAGACAAATAAACATGAACTTATTTTTAAGCCGTTGAATAATTTAGATGAAACAATAAAAAAATGATTTATCAATTAAAAAAAAATTAAAATATTGAACCTTTTTTTTTGTTTTTTTTTTTCGAAAATATATATTTTTTTCCTAAATTGCAAATTTTAGCTATACACTTTATCATAAAAAGTGACCCTAAAATGTCATGTTCTATCAGAATCCGGAACAAAAATAGGAGTGACCCATTTAAAATAAGAAACTTGACATCTACTTCCGGTAGAACTGTCGAAATATTTTAAGTGGAAGATCGTAATCAATTTTTAAAAAAATCCGTCTATAAGTTTGTGAGATATAGATAGTATCTCACCCGTCGCTGTATATTTTTCAAAATAAATAAACCAAAATGTATTTATTAAGTTCAAAATAAATATCAAATAGTTTCTTTTTAAAGTAATATCTTTTAATAAGTACTTTAAAGGCCTAGTGTTGCCATATGGCAACATCAGTTATGAAAAAGCTATTGTTTTTTTAAATATTTTTATTTATTAGTTATTGATTATAAATAAAGCAACACTTCAAAATTTATATTTAAAAAAAAATAATTCCACTTTTATGGGTTAAGAAAAGGCCAATAACATTCTGAAGAGCTCCCTGTGGATCGCCATGGACCTGTACAATGTTACATATGGACCGATTTGGTCGGGTGTTTTATAATAATCAGCGATGCCTACCTTGCCAGAATGCCTCTCCTCGTTATCGCTATCCTGCACGTTCACGCAACTGATCACGTTCTTCCTCTGCGTCGTCGCCACCAGTGGAGGTGGAGCCAACGGTTGTGTTTGCGTATTGGTGTGTATCAATTTCTTTCCGGGCGCGACCTCGTCTTCGCTATCAGATATCGTTATGACCGAAACGGCGGGCGAGGGCGTGTCGTTGATGGTTATCGTGTGCTGCTTCGTGGGCACCACTGACACGGAAGCGGAACTTCCGTTGTGGTGGTGATGATGATGGTGATGGTGAACGGTCTGAGTGTGGTGATCATGAGAAGAGACCTGCAAAACAAATTGATGGATTATAGATTTATATTTTCGAAATGAAGAATATATATCAAAACTGATGGTAATAAATGATAACCAAAATAATGAGATTAAATGGAAATACACAATATTAGAAATAGAAAAAGTAACAACAAACAGAGCGAACAAATCAACTAAAATACACTATTCATTAAATACAACAATACTGGAACATAAAGATACCCAAACAAAATTAAAAATTCGCATCATAATAACAATACCAGCAAAAACTGGGTAATAAGTAGTAAAGATGAAATAAAAATTAATGTTATCGAAATGAAACACTTAAGAAAAATTGAAGGAAAGACCAATAGGATAAAAATGAGTAAATTCAAAAAATAAAACAAGGGCCAATAATGCAAATAATAAAACAGAAACAACTAAACTGGTATGGAAACTTCGCTACCTCAGTTTAAAAGAAAAAACATCAATATCACGGATTTTTCAAACGTTTAGTTAATTTCTGTTTTGAACGAAGTTATGGAGAGAATTTTGTGAGTTCTAAAAGAAAATATGAATGTTTATTATAATGACAAGATACTTCTATCTATGTTGTTCCTCTTTTAAACTAGACATGACATTTGGTATTTTTAATTATTTTGTAGAAATATCTCACCTCTGACAAATTTTAAATTATTTACTTTTGAACTGAGGTAGGGAGTTGTTAAGAATAAAGTTAGACAGAAGAACAAGAACAATTTCAGAATTAAGAAAACCAAGTCAAGAAACAAAAGAGGAGAACAAGACGAAAATGGGTAGACCAAATTAAAGAAATGGGAATAGAAAAGAGAAAGAGAATTAATAAGATGAAAACATTAGCAAGAGGCAGGAAGGTCTGGAAAACATTGATGCAAAAAGACAAACAATCTAAAAAGGTAAAGGAACCCAAGAAAAAATTATATGATACTAAACAGAACTAAGTCATACTTGAAAAATTACACTTACAAGTTGATGTGAAGAAGAATGGTGCCATTGATTGCTTGGACTGTGGTTCCTTCTGCTGCTGGTGTATTGTTCTGAAGGTGGTGTTCCTTCTTTGACTCGTTTCTTAACTGGACTCAGTTGCGTCTGTTCTTTCTTGTCATGTTGAGATCGATGATGGCTCGGTACCTGGAACAAAAAATATAAAATTTTATATATTCAAAATATTTTTATTACATGGCGTCAATTTTCATATTTTTGTGTCCCATATTTATATTTTTGCGTCCCATATTTATATTTTTTGATACCCATAGCTGTATTTTTTTTATATCACATATCTATATTATTGTATTATTTTGCGTCTCATGTTTGTATTATTTTGCGTTTCATTTGTATTTTTTGCGTCCCATATTTATATTTTGGCGTCCCGTATTTGTATTTTTTGTATCTCATCTATATTTTGTTGTGTCCCAGCTTAATTTAATATTTGGAAATATTTATTATTTTAAGTCAGTATTTATATTTTCTACGTCCCATATTTATATTTTCTGTGTTTCAGTTTAAAATATTTATATTATTTTGTATCCTATATGTAATTTTCATGTATTCATATATTTTTGAACCAAATATTTATTTCTTTGCGTCCCATATGTAATTTTTTCTGTCTCATGTTCGATATTTTTTTGCATCACATGTTTATGTTTTTTTGCATTAAGTATTTGTATTTTTTTTATCACATAATATTTTTTACGTTCCCACTTGAAATTTAATATGTTTAAAATATTTATATTTTCCGAGATTTAATTTAAAATATTTATATTATTTTGCGTCCCATATGTATTTTTTTATCCCATATTTATATATTTTTTGCGTTCCAATTTAAAATTTAATATAATCAAATAATTATATTACTTTATGTCCGAATTTATATTTTTTGTGTCCCATATTCCACATTTTTTGTACCAATTATTTATATTTTAATTTAAAGTATTCAAAATATTTATTTTACTTTGCATCCCTTATGTAATTTTTTGCGTCTCATTTTTTTAGCATCACATTATATTTTTTGATTGAAATATTTAATTTTTTTTTGTGTAACAATTTAAAATTTAATATATTCAAAATATTTATATTACTTTGCGTCCCGAATTTATATTTTTTTCGTCCCGTATTTATATTTTTGAGTCCCACATTTATATTACTTTGCGTCACGAATTTATTTTTTTGTGTCCCGTATTTATATATTTTTTTTCAGTCCAGATTTAAATTTTAAAATATTTATATTTCTTACGTTCCAACTTAAAACTTAATATGGTCAAAATATTTAATAGTTTGCGTCCTATATTTATATTTTTAAATTTCTCCTTATTCATTTAAAAAATTGAGGTTCTATGTTCCAAAAATCTAATAGCATACATCAAAGGATTAACGGATAAAAATAATCATTTGTTAAAACTTTTCCTTGTCATTTCACTTCTTTAAAATGGAAAATTCCCTGACTTTAGATAGTAACAACACAACGCTTACCATTAAATGGTGATGACTATGATGCGACCCTGACTGTTGACCATGATGGTTCTTGGAACTCCGCTTGCTGGTACCCCAGGAGGCACCTGTGTGATCCACGATAGCGGGATTGTAAACTTCGGCGGCCACATCGACGGGAAAAACGGGACGTTGTTCTTGCAGAATGGCCGAAGAATCTACCAACAGAGGGCGTCCCCATTCGGCTTCGGACAGGAGCGGTTGCTGTATCGTAGCGTGTTGAGGTGGTAATTGCTGCCACGATGGTACGATGGCCATTTGCTGACGGTTAGTAGGCCAGGAAGTCTGTACTGCATTCTAATATTGAAAGAAAATAAGAATTTCAAAAACGCATGTGCCAGTTTTGCAAACAAGGCTAAAGCCGAGTCAATATACATATAATGCCTTTGTGTAATTTTATAGAATATTTTATGGACATGGTATAGTTAGGTTCAAAATTAAAATTTAATGACGTAGTTTTTTATATCAAAAGTGATAAATCTTTGAGTCGAGAATTAGAAATTGTTGTAAAGGATTGGATGTTTTTGAAAAAACAAATGTCAGACGGTTGAAAAATGTCAGATAGGGATTTTGAATGTTTGAAGGGATGGTCAAGAAGAAATTAAGGATAGTAAAGAATTGTATTAGGATAGACATACTTTTGGAAGAAATTATTTTTAAAAATGTAAAGAAGTTAAGAAAAGTAAATTGATAAAAAGGAAAAAGTTAAAAAATTATTTTTTAACAGTGAAACAGGCTAGATAAGGTGTGAAAGAGAAACGGAGTAAATATAAGAGCAGTTTAAGTAGATAAGCAGAGTAATAGGTGCAGAAGAGAAAAAATTCATTGATATATAGAAATGTAAGTATATAAATGAATATTTTTATTAGTTTTAGGGTCAGTCTTTTCACCTCTGAGTAAAGTTGAAAGTAACTACTTGCTGATTAAACTATAGGGCTGTTTTTTAATCTGTCAAGTAAACTGACATGTTACTTTACTCAGAGGTGAAAAGATCGGCCCTTAGTATCAAAATTGAATATGTGAACTCATCAAATAATTGGATACATAAAATTAAGATTTTAAATAAAGATTTGATAAGGGAGTTTTTTTTTTGTTGTTGTCTAAATTATTGATAAAAGGGAATGAATGTGAAAGAAAGCTCCAAACCTGGGATAGAGGATTGTTGGGCAAGTTTACTGGACGAGTTGGGAAAAATTATTTTTAATTATAAGTTTTACAACCATATCAAATGGCGCCAAAAGTGACAACGTGGGTTTATCAATTTTAAATATATAATATCTACATCAAATGTATAATAAAGCAATTTTAAATAAATGGATCTAAAAATGATAGGAACAGATAACGGGAACATATATATAAGAATTTGAAGAAACAGAAGAAATAAGTTGGAAAGAAATGCATGAAATGAAAATACAAAATGAGGAAGATAAAATCGTTGAAGGAGAAAAAATGGAATTAATAAGGAATGGATCACAATTAGATAAAATGGAACATGGAACATGGAAAAAAGACAAAGAAGAAATTAAGACATCTAAAAGAGAATGCAAAGAAGAAATTAAGAAATTTAGAAGAGAAGACAAAGAAGAGATTATTGAGAATATAGGTGAAAAGAGAAAAGAAAAAGAAGCAATTTAGAAATGAAGACAGAAAAGATTATTCAGAAGATGGCCAAAAATGAGAAAAATGGAATTCAGACAGATGTAATGAAGAAGAAAATAGGAAAGAAATTTGAAGAATCGATAAAATAAGAGGAGATAATGAGATCAAATTTTATATAAATAACAAAACAAAGAATAATGTAAGAGTGAAAATGATTGGTAGATTATTATAGAGTAGAATACAATATCCACTTCTCAAATGTGGTCAAAAAATTATAGAGGTCGAAGATAATAAATTTAAAATTTTAAAAGAAAGAACGTTTGAAAGAAGAAAAAAATAGACAACCAAAAAATTAAAGAAAAATATTTGAGGTGAAAAATAGAAGAGATAGATATTATAAATATAAATATAAAATTAAAGAAGAAAATAGAGAAAGTAAATTAGAAAACAAAACAAAGAGAATAACAATAAGCAAGATAAAAGAAAACTAAATGGAGAAGAATTTTAGAAAAAGTAAGTAAGAATATAAAGAATTAATAAGGTTTTTATTGATATTGTGAATGAACGTGATACATTATTGATATTGTGAATAAATGTGAAAGGAACCTACGAATCTGGGATTAAGATTGAGATATAAATTTGGTTAGACAGGGCCAGTGGAAAAAAATAAATTATCATATTATTATGTTAAAACTTACCGTCAATAACATTTGCCGTCCGCTAGGCTCGACTACGCTGACAGGAACGTACTGTTGCTGGCCCGGTTGGCTCAAAATAGGTGGTTGAATTTGCAATTGTTGCTGTTGAACAACGGTGACGTGTTTGGCGGGAGATCCTCCCATTCCCTGATAACCGGCGGGACATAGGATACTGGAAACCAGTTGATGTTGGAAAGGATCAGCTCGACTGCTCGTTGCGTACTGTCTACCGACCGTTCTGCCATTGTAAATTTGGTACTGAAAACAAATTTGAATTTACTAATCTAATATATTGTTACACAGCACCCTGCAGTAGCCTGCGGCTATTATAGGAAACGTCCAGATATAAAAAGAAGTGGAATGTTACTCATCGCCCTACAGTGTGCCGCGGTCGTCATAAGTAATGTACAAGTAAAAGAAGATAGAATAGTCCGGAAATGTCATTACCCGTCAAGAATATTCTAGACGACAGTTCGAGAAGGGTCAATCAAGCTATATAATGATGATCCTGTTGTCAGTTTGGAGTTTTTATGATAGATGTTACATGTTAATATTATCAGTTGTATAATTGTTGTTAAAGTTGTGTTGAAATAAATTGCGATGCCAAAAACCTGTGTAACAATATGAAATAAGTCGATGTAAAATACTATACATGATCACCACAACCTATGTCAGTAATAAATCTAGTAATGATTAAACGTCAAAAATATTCTTTTTCTTTTTTTTTTAAACTGCGTTAGGCTTAATTTTAATTCAATTTTAGGGGATGCAAGATTAGGTGCTTACAGATTAGGGAACACTTTGGGAAATCTTAACATTAAACCAGGTCACATAAGTATCATAAGTTTATTGACAGAGGATGTGCTAGAATTGAGAACAGATCACATAACCAAACTTTACTTATTCATCATTCCAGTCGAGGTTTTAATATAAAAAAAAACGGAAATCACTCTAAGGGAACCCAGTCTGCCCAACGACAGGGACATACTTGGTACACAGACGGGTCAAAGACTGACAGAGGCACTGGGCTGGAGTATTCTCCAAAAACCCTAACACCAATCTTAGCTAGGCAATAGGAAGACATGCTTCAGTATTTTAGGCTGAATTTTATGAAAAACAAACATTACGAAAGCTATCGAAAATAAGCAGATCAAAATAATTTCAGACAGCCAGGTGCCCTTAAGGACATATCGAGTTATAAAGTGATGTGAATGCTGGTATGGGATTACATAGAGCTGATAACACTGGAAGACCAAAATAGAGTATTATTAGTTTCGATGCCAGGTCATCAAGGGTTCGAGGGCAATGAAAAAGCTGACCAACTTCCAAAAAGGGGGTCAGAAGAAATACTGAAACCTGATATAAACCTTGGAGTAGCAAAAAAGTAGTTCGAGGTTTCATAAATGACTGGGTTCAACAACTATTGGGAAAATGTCCTAAAACAGGCACATGGAAACACTTTTATAGAAAGATCATGTTCAAAAAGTTCACCAGTTCAAAACAATAATATGACTCTTGAATAAACATGATCCAGTAAAGGGACACAAAATACAAAATAGGCGTGTATAGCGGGTGTCCGATTGTGTTGACTGTGTCACAAGGAACCAGAAACAGCCAAACATATACTGTGCAACTACAAAGCATTGGATCGAAAAAGACAAGCACTTTTTGGATTACCACAGGTTTATCCAAGAACATATAGAACACATCCTGTCAAGGACGTATATTAACTTGTATAAGGAACTAAGGTGACTAAGGGTACTATGAATTAATATGGGTCAATACAATAAGCCATTAGGCTTTCAGTGTTATCGGAGATTAAGTCATACAAGCACAGGGGAAAAAAGGAGGTTCTTTTTATGCAGAAATGTGAGGATAGTAAGACGAGTACATCAATATGTAAAATTAAATTTAATAAAATCATGCAGTAGACTTAGGCTTCAGAAAGCAATCATCACAGCCATCGTCCAGTAGATACTTCCACAAAAAACCTATAGAATAACGAACATTTATCAAGAATAAAACGAGTTGACTAGTAATAAGGTGGATGGATGTAGGTTAATTTTAAAAACGAATTATGCTAAAAATTGCTAATAAAAAGTAACAGAAAAATGTCAGAAATATGTACCTGAGAAAGAAGAATTAATTTATTATACAAATAAAACGTGTAAAATACATAATCATTTGTCTCAGAGGAAAAATGCAATACTCAAAGCTACATATTGCCATGTTTTTCTTATAATGAAATTACCACTGTTCCGAGTTACAAAGGAATGCACATTTACCAAAATTATCCCGTGGAGTATTAAGACGTACACTGCATCAAATGAATTTTCGTTATTGAAAGAAAAACAGTACTAGTAACCAACTGGTTAAAGAGGAAATCTTTGTTTGGCGTAGAAAAATATTTAGAGGAAAGTTTGGCAAGCTTTAGATGTAACAACTCATAGAGATGCTTTCTTACAAGGAATCAAAATTACCTCCTGGTAAAAGACATTGTTTAAAATTACCTATTGGCAGTGATAACGGATTTGTTGAAGGTGAGCTTAATGTTTTTGAATCACAAAGGACTTAATATCAAACAATTTTACATAATAATGACTTTTAGATCATATATCATTTTCTAGTCAAAATTATAAAAAGGTTTTGTCAAAAAAATATCATCAGATATAAATGTTGTGGCACGTCTTAATAAAATTTAAAATGATAAATCAAATCATGTTTCTTGGCAAATCTGCCAAATTTGGTAACATGACGCTATAAGCCATTACTTACAGACCACCCCGTAATTATATGATAATGGGGTTCTATGTGACCACATATGAACCAAACCTTAAAAAATGGTAACGAGTCATGGTAATACCTCGGAGGTACTTATGTAAAACATTAAAACTGTCTGCAACTGAAAATATTTTTTCCTATCCTATATATCATATATATCCTATCCAATATAGAGTTTTGGAGCGGTGACAGTTGTCAGCACTCCATTACACATTCATCAATTTTTTATTGCCTATAATTGATGATTTCAACTATGACCATTTTTAACAAAAGCAGTCATTGAATAATTTAAAATTTTCCATGATTTATTATTGTAGTGTTTACCCAACTAAATAACATTCGTTTCCTAAGATTTGTATGTAATATGACAATATCAGAATGACATTACATACATAATATTGGCACACCTAAAATATACATGGAAAACTATAGTAACCTAAATAATAATACACTACAATTATAAAACAGTGCCGAGGTAAGAAAATACAAATGACAGGATATGACAAATGACAGCGTTAAGAAATGTGTATGGTTCAGAAGTCACGAGAACAGAATCATTTATCAAAAATAAATAAATGTAAGTAAAGTGTTACTGGTTCAAGAGCGAAAGACTGTGATGATGGCTTTTTAAGGCCAAAAGCTCTAACCTGATTTTATTAAATTTAATTGTACCAACTAATGTACTTATCTCACTCTCCATACCTCATGTTTAATATGTATATCATTCCCAGGCTTTCTAAACCTACAAATGTTGAGAAAATTGTCCGGCTAATTTTTTGAAATAACAATAGTATATTTGCGACTTACCAAATTGTCATATCCCGATCTATCCCTGACCAGCCTCTGCACTTGGTTAGTCAATTGGTTGTTTATGGTGAAAGTCACATTACCATTGGAACTAGGTACGAAATTAGCGACCAAAGATGGCGCTTGTTGTGTCGGTTGGTGGTGAGTAGCAGAGGTCGTATTGTTATAATCGTTTCTTCGGCAAACCTGTAACAATAAAGGATATTAAGTAATTAAATATTTAATTAAATCTGTCAAATTCTCACCTCCATCATTTGTACACTAGCTTTCACATTATTACAATGTGCGTAGTCTACTAGATGCGCTAATCGTACGAATGCATGATTTAGTGCTTCCCCAGGAGTCGTTCGTCTTTCCTGAAAGCACAAAAAACATTGAACATCGCATTTCCATCAAATATCGCATTTTAAAGATAAAAGGTAAATAGTGTATCCATTTATAGGTGGGCATAAGTCAAATTTCAGTATGTGGAGGGTCAATTAATAAGTAAACACTAAATATGTATCAATTTCTTCAAGGACAACAGTCACCCTATAGTTTTAGTTTTCAAACGTGAATCTAATTGAATAAAATATTGCTACCTGATCCATCGTCAACATTCTCTTCAACAAATCGATAAACTCCTTCCTGTCAACTTTTTCGGCCAGCAGTTGACCGCCTTCGAGATCCGTCGGCACGTTTACCTGCCCGATGTCGTCCAAACAGTTGAAGATATATTTCCTGGCCTCTTTGGACTTGATGCCCGTTTCCGCCTCGTGCTCTTCCGGTGTTTTTAACCTCCAAAACGGATACGTGCTGTCCATGTCTCTGTAGAAAAATTTGGTCGTCTTTGATGCGTTGTTGAGCATATGCTCTGTAGGTAGGCCTTGGGTTTGGCTGATGTATCTGAAAAATATCATTTAAATATAGTATTCTCTTCGCTCGAAGATTAAGGAAGAATAAGTTCTCGGAAATGTAATAAAAGTATGACCCTCGAATATGTAGTTTTGAATTATATTGAATAAAATAAATATATTTATTTAATTATTTACGGATCACCAATTTTACATAAATATAATTTATAGATAGTAAATAAGAAAATCTCGAAGAAAATGGACTAAAGACTGGCTACTTAAACGCAGTACACTGTCACAAACAAATTTACTAGAGAAGCAAAGATTGGAACCTGGTGATTGGCACAATTACTTGAGGATGGACGAGGATATGTATCGGAAACTGTTAAAACTAGTAACACCGTTAATTGAGAGACATAACACCCATTTACGGGAATGCATCAGTCCTCACGAACGCCTAACAGCTACTCTGCGGTTTCTGGCCACTGGCCGCCGCTACGAGGATCTGAAGTTTTCTGTTATTATTTCTTCGCAGGCACTAGGACGCATAATACCCGAAATCTGCCAAGCTCGATAAACTCTAATAAAAAATCTCTGTTCCACTGCCTAATATCCGACATTTTTATTATAACCAGTTGTAAATAATAATAAACAACAAAAACATGCTGAACGTCACTGCTACTGAAAAATGCCCGACCAGTCAAACTGTTGTGAACACACACCTCGTGTTTACTCGAACGGTTGGCACGATAACCGTCAAAAATAAAGACTAGCCTGAAATTTTGGAACGACGTTCTTGCCCGTACACATCGTTTTTGTGACATTTTAACCGACGGTTAAAAATGGCGGAGAAGAACGAGGTGAGTGGGGCCCTTAAGAAACAGACTTCACGAAGACAATTTTCGATCCAGAGTCAAAGCTGTGAAGCCCCAGTTAATCCGTCAGCACAGGAGAGCGCAGTTAAATTTTGCCAGAAATCATATGGATTGGAACATTAACTAATGAGGACAAGTTCTTTATACAGATGAGTTAAAATATCTACTTAGCCACAACGATGCATGTGTACGAATATGGGGACGTAGACGTGAGCGATACTTGAGGTCAAATGTTAGAGAATCTGTCCAATTCGGACGGGGCTTCATTATGGTCTGGCGAGAAATTTCTTTGAACCAACTTGCCATGTGTTTCGAGATGGAATTGTTAATGCTCGCATATACGTAGAAGACATTGTAGAACCCTATATCATTCCAGTTGCTGCAGATGAATGTCCAGATTTTTTCCTTTAACACGACAATGCGAGACCTCACACCGCCCGACAGGTAAATCAACATAATCAAGAAAACATTATCGAGGTTTCAGAATTCTTTCACCCAACACAAATCGTCCCAATTTTATAAAACAAAAATGCAAAACTTTTTTTAAATCTGACATTTGTATTTTTGATGTAATTTTTAGTAAAAATATAAAAACAATTTTCGATATGTTCCATGAAGTTTTTTAAAGTTCGACATTTTAATTTATTTATTAATTTTGATTTTTTCTAATAAAACTTCTGCAATGGGTAGCTGGTATTTTAAAGTCAATTAGTATTGTGAGTAAAAACCATCTCGGAAGCAAAAAAGAAGAAACGGCGGCAAGAAATTTCCCATTTTCAAAACCTAAAAAATAAGTATGTAGCTTAGGCAAATATATCAGGGGACGTGTTCGGAAAAACGTTCGGACACGTTCATTGGTATTTTTATTTGCGAATTTTTTTTAACAAAATCTTTTTATACAGAGTTCTGTCATGTACCACTGACCGATACCAACTTTCTTATTTTAAATGCAACACACTGTATATTTTTCAACTTTTGGATTCTTCAGAAAATTCTAGATATTTTATGTACTATTATTTGATTACATTTTTCCATTTTTGAAAAGTGTGTTTGGACTAGTCAACTTGTCCGTGGACTTTTCTATATAATATAAGAGAACAAAATAAGACAGATAGTTTTGTTATTACCTAATCTGATCGTACTCAGAAGACCCGGGATACAACGGCCACCCAAGGAATAGTTCGGCCACCACACATCCAAGCGACCACATGTCGATTGCCTCGCAAAACGGTAGGCCCAGTATGATTTCGGGGGCCCTGTAGTACCTCGATTGCAAGTAAGTGTTGCATACCGCTTTGCTCACGTGCGACGCACTGCCGAAATCGATCACTTTGACGCGATACGGTTGACGCACGGGATCGACCAACATTATATTCTCCGGTTTTAAGTCCGCGTGGATCAGTCCCAATTGCTGAAAATAAAAAAAAAAAAGAAATCGTTAAACATTTGTCTGTGTATATTTTACAATAAAATGTGGATTCCTGTGACTATAGAACAATATTAAATTACATATGGATGTAATACCTCCATGGTTCGTTCTGTTAGGTTGGCAAATACCTACTTATTTATGGAGACTCTTAAAGGTACAGTTTAGTATAATTTATTCTAATCTTTTTAATGAAGGTGTATTTTTTTTACAATGTCTTAATTAAATGTATTGCATTAATATATTTTTTTATTTGTAATTAAACTATTAATTTTATTAATTAATTTGTTTATTTTTTATCAATGCCAAAATAGCACACTCCAATATTCGTAACACTAACTAATTTCGATAGATGTCATTTATGTCATATTTAAGAATCCTTTTGTTCAACAGATGGAGCAGTATTCTATATTTAATAGTTTTTCTGTTCAACAGATGGCGTAATATATTTGTTATTTATCCGTCCAGTTTCGATATGTAATCGACATGGCAACACCTGTTCAGTTAAAACGAAACAGTTATAACTTCAGCATCCTGCGCTTCCTTACTTCGCGTTAGAAAATGAGATTCTTAACCTGTTCTTGACCTTGTGAAATATTTTGTAAGCAAGTAGGTATATAATAGCTTCGTTCGCGGTGAGAATCCTGAACCGAATTATTACCAATAGTAACAATTTCGCAGGCGCAGTAGTTAAAAAGCGTACGCGGAACAAAAAGAACTGAACTATTGCTTCTAAACTGCGTTCGCGGTAAAATTATTATTGGTTTTGAACCGCTTTTGTTATACCTGGAACATCGAGATATAATACGGACTGCGCGCGCTGTAAAAATTCAGAATTGATAATAAACCAGGCATGCGCTCAAAGTATGAATTAGTAATTCTGAATCAGTTCAGGATTGTTACTGCGAACAAAGCTAATAGTTTTTGGATCTTGGTTCGGGATATCGGTATATGGGGTAGATACATTCATTCTCTCAGTCGTTCGACGTTGTGTCCAGTCAACGGGCAAAGGTATTGGTAGGTATGCCCCAGAGATAACAGGAGATGTAGCTACTAACAAATATCGTGCGGTTCTAAGGGACATATAAACATATTCTAAGGGACACAGGGAGGTATAATATCTGCTGTTGTCACTTGCATTTTTAATTATTTTCGTTTTGTTTACAAAATTATTTACATATGTTAAAAAATCTAAAATAATTCAACCTATTTTATTGCAACTGAACCCAAAAATTTTTAAATTATTAGTTATATCAAATTTAACTAAATTAGATGTAACAATTTTCAATAAATTCCAAAACCTAGTAATGTTAAGTTGAAAGTGGCAACAGGACTTACACTGGCATGTATATAAATCTATGTTGTTTATCTTCTATATATATAAAATTGTTTGTCCTGACTGACTGATTGACTGACTGACCTATCAGCGTACAGCCAAAACTACTGAGCCTAGAAAGTTGAAATTTGGAACATAGGTTAATTTTATAACGTAAGCATCCGCTAAGAAAGGATTTTTGGAAATTTTAACTTTAAAGGGGGGAAATGGGAGGAAATGGGGGGAGAGAGCTTTTAATGAAACTCTTTGTTCTTTAAAGTTAGAAACATGAAAATTTAAATTACAGCTACTGAGTATAAATAAATAATGACGTGTTTCAGGGTTTTTGGATTTTTTACATTTTAAGGGGGGGAAACGGGGGGTGAGAGTTTCTAAGGGACTAACGATTTTTTTGTTCTCTATGAAGTTAGAAACATGACAATTGGAATTCCAGCTACTGACTACAAATTATTAATGACGTGTTTCAGGATTTTTGGGTTTTCACATTTTAAGGGGGGAAATGGGGGGTAAAAATGTATTTGGGAGTATCCATGTTTTTGGTTCTCTTTAAAGTTAAAAACATGAAAATTGGAATTGCAGCTACTGAGTACAAATTAATAATAATATGTTTTAGGGTTTTTATATTTTTACATCTTAAGGGGGGCAAACGGGGGTAAAAGTTTGTATGGGAGTATAACTTTTTCTGTTCTCTTTGAAGTTAGAAACATGAAAATTGGAATTGCAGCTAATAAGTACAAATTAATAATGACGTGTTTTAGGGTTTTTAAGGGGGGAAACGGGGGGGGGGGGGGGGAGGGGTGAAAGTTTATTTGGAAATATCGGTTTTTTTAAAGGTAGGAACTTGAAAATTGGAATTGTAGGTTCTCATCATAAATAAATAATGAAGTGTTTCATGGTTTTTGGATTTTCACATTTTAAGGGGGGAAAACAGGGGTGAAAATTAATAAAAATTATTAAAAATTAATAAAAAGTAATAAAAATTAATAAAAAGTAATAAAAATTAAAAAAAATTAATAAAAATTAATAAAAATGAATAAAAATGAAAAAAAAAAAAAAATGAATAAAAATGAGTAAAATTAAATAAAAATTAATAAAAATGAATGAAAATTAATGAAAATGAATGAAAATGAATAAAAATGAATGAAAATGAATGAAAATGAATGAAAATGAATGAAAATGAATAAAAATGAATAAATTTAAAAAAATAAAAAAAATGAATGAAAATTAATAAAACTAATTAAAATTAATAAAAAAAGAGTCATGTATTTTTTTATATCAATAACACGACTATATGCGATCAAAGTCGCGAGCAAAGCCGCGGGCAATAGCTAGTTTATTCATTTATTCATTAATAAAAAAAGTTGCTTCGGCGTAAAATCCTTCTCTATATCCCCTCTCTTACTTCTTACCTTTCGTCTCCTCACCTACAACTAGAGCGTACTAATTGTCGAATTAATCTTGGCATCGTTAATATTAAATTTTATCAATGACAGGTTACATCTCTGTTATCTCTAGTAGGGTCCGATTACAATAATAACAGCTACGTCATCACTTGTCGTAGTAATTTGTTGGATAAGGCCACAAAATAATGTCATCAAAAAATGTAAAACCAAGGTTATTATTACTATAATAATTAAAATGTATTTAAAAAAATAATCAACAATAATCGTATTTATTCAATTTTCATATTTTCTAAACAAAAAAAAAAAAAACTAAAAAAAAAATAAAAAAAACAAAAAAAAAATTCTGCCCCGCCAGGATTTGAACGCGGTCTCAAATGACAAAGTTGATAAGTTCGACGTTCTAACCACCTGAGCTAATAACCCTTGTGTCAATTGAATGATCTAATCAGTTATGTATTTAACCAGAATAAAGAGCAAACATTATTTTAAAATTATTTTAATAATAATTGTTAAAGATAAATATCTAGGATCTAATTTACAACAATTTCAATAATTTAACAATCATATCAATTTTAGTATTAATATGGACATTACATAGATCAAAATAGAAATTAGGTGTTTGACATTTTTTGACAGCTACTGCGGAAAGTAACATATTCGTACACGGGTGGAAAGTAAATTCATATTTATACGCGTGTGATATAGGGCACTTTCCATGGGACTATATAGTGTGATATGTGTCACGTTCCTAAGTGGTCGTAGGAAAAATAATTTTTCTACACCTACATGGATATTAGCTTATCTACGCACAGATTACAAAACGAAAAAGTATGCTATTGCGTTCAACTGAACGAATATATTTCATATCCCTTCTAGGTAGTAAGAACACTGCAAAAAAAAGAAATCCACCAATCACTGTCCATATTTTGATCAACCGACTGCTATTTTTTTTTTGTGTCATCCGCTTCAACTGCTAAGGTTATTTCGCCTCGTGTTCTGTGTAGGTTGTTACTGTTTCCCAGCGCCACTTTAGGAACAGCACTGTTAATTAGAACATAACAGGGAAATGGGACTGCTATTATTTGTAAAATTTTAAATCAGTAACATTTCTGTCAAACTAATTGTCAGTATATTTTTTAGTTATTGAGATTAAACATAAATATATTAAAATGGGTTATTCTTGGGTAGAATCGATTAATAAGAGCATTTCTGTTTTTATTTCGTCTGTAGTTATAAATAATTTGTTAATTTAAATAAAACTATATGAAGTCAATTTAATTACGAATATTGAAGCAACAAAAATAAAGAGTAGGTGATCCTGTAGTCAGCGTTCTGGCCTTAAACGCATAAGACTGGAGTTCGATTCTCGGATAGGGAAAAATAAACTTTTTCTTTTTTTTTTTTTGTTATTTTATTTTAAAAATTATTAAATGTCATAAATTATTTAAAAAAAAATGTTATTTGTAAATTTTTGTTAGTCGTAAAAAAATATACTGTACAACTCGAGTGGATTGTCCACATCGCACTTAGACGATTGAGCACTCCGCCTACGGCGTCGTGCTCAAATTTCGTTTTCGTGCGATATGGCCATCATATCCACTCTTGTTTCACAAACTACTATTTCAAAATATTTAAATTTCATATTTATACGTAAGTTGGCGGCATATGGAAAACTTTTTTATTATTAATTTTATGAAAAAAACTTATTATTCAAAAATGTTTATCAATCGTATACGAGGTTTGTCAAAAGGTACTTTATTCTTGAGCAAAATAATATTTTTTGACAACTCTCGTATACGACTGATAAAATTTGATATCAGATGGTTGAAAATTAAGGTTTTAGATCATGCACAACTTTTCACGAAGAATAACTTTTCCATATATGCTGCTTACTTACGTAGATAGTTGGAGGCACAGGAATTTTTTTTATAATTTTAGGAAAATGTTATTCTACATAAAAAAAAATTTAATTATCATAATATATCACTTCATTTATAGAGTCGTAATTTACATTTTCATTTTAGGTTTTCATTATCACTTTTTTTTATAAATTCAGAATTACAGTACTATTTTCAATTAATAATAAAAAATTACGTGTGCATTTTCGGTCAATCAATGAGAAAAATCAGTATTTTTGAAATATTTATAACTAACCACAAATGAACAAAAAAAAAGCGCTGCTTGTGAATAATATGTAGGCAAATGGCGTGATAGGAAAGTATGGTATACATGGCAGTCAACGTGTT